AGATGCTTGGCATTTAGAGTATTATGTAATGTCAACATAAACAAATAAATACATCCCAAATGTAATTTTCCATCATGTCCTCAGAAATAAACCTTTTAAAATGAAAACTTCCTCAAATTAGATTATAAAGCAAAGGTACACCTTTGGGAGAAGCCAGTGATGGTAATATGACTATAAAAATGCAAAAGTCATTCAGTTTCATCACTTTCTGCCTGTATTCCTCTCTTTTTCTTTCCTTCCCAATATTCTATATTTTTTCTCTCTGTATCCTGTTTCTATTTCTCTCTCTTCATAGTTCAGCTAAAATATATATTCCTGCTTTGTACCGTTTTCCTATGGGCTGCTCTACTAATCATTCATTCAAGCACAGGTTAGGTACGAATTTTGCATTCCTTAACTTGCAGAAGGAGTTAGTGTTATATCCACAATATAAATATCTATGTATTGATGTGTATTACAGATAATGGAGTTTATTCATTTATTATATGCCAAATATTTAGCTTCTTACCTTTCAAAACCTAAGCTTATGATATAATGATAGAAATGCAAGAATGTGAAAAGTAGGTCATCTGTCATTTAAATAAATCCAACAGTCTTGAGAGGATAATTAAATGCCAAGAATCATAATAAACTATGGATTATATTGGAGGAACCATCTTGAGTGTTCAATAGAAGGAGGTTCACATATTGCTGGAGGAATGGGGCCACAGGAACAGGACAGAGGACAGAAGAAAACGTTTGAGTGAAAATCTAGATAGTATATTAGATTGGGAGAAAAATTCAACAGAGCAGTGTCAGGGAGATGGAATGTGAGTACTGAAGAATTCTGGAAGATCACCTGGAGGTCAGAGAGCCAGAAGCACATCCACGTATCTAGAACTTAAACTGCAAGAAGGGAGGGAAACAAGAAATAAGTTTGGGACATCAGCAAGACTGCAAACAGGAAAATGTCTGAATTTTGTGTTTAGAATAAATGAGTGGTCCCAGGGAAACTGAAGAGGTAATATATGATTTTCTAAAGATGGCTCTTTGGCATTTACTGGAAGCATTAATTAGATTGAGAGAGTGAAGCCAATTAGAGGCTAGGGCCGGACGAATCATAAGTAAGTTACCATGGAGCCATTTCCACACCAGAATTTAATTCTAAATTTGTAACCTAAGGGACAGTAGCATATAGTCAATATTTCCCATGAAAATTTGTTAGAAATATGACATATTGGAAGTCAAAAGAGCATCTCTCTGTAAATATAAAGTAAAGGCTTCTTTTAATTAGAACTTTACATTTGTTATTCACTACTGCATTCCTAGAGATTATAATGGTAACTAACACATCTTATATGCTCAGTAATACTGGTTGAAAATAAGTTAACTATAACCAGGTTGTCTTTTATATTGATGGAAAGATTTTTATCTGTATGGTTGGCTTGTTTTGTTTTTCTACTTGGTGCTAGATACAAGTAACTAACTTATTTTTAGGGTCTTTACTGTATGAAAATGTATTTTTCATAGCTTAGATGAAGAAATGTTGCATAGATGGAGGCCTAACACTAGTGATAAAAAAATAGATGAAACCTCATGATTATTTGACTGGGTGAGATGGAACACACCTGTAGTCCCAGTGGCTCAGGAGGCTGAGACAGGAGGATCATGAGTTCAAATCCAGCCTCAGAAAAAGCAAGGAGCTAAGCTACTCAGTGAGAACTTGCTTCTAAATAAAATTTAAAAAATAGGGATGGAAATGTGGTTCAGTGGCCAAGTGCCCCTGAGTTCAATCCCTGATACCAAAAAAAAAAAAAAAAAAAAAAAAAAATTGAGCTCAGCTCACGATGACTTTAACATGGATATAATGATAAAGGAAGAGAAAAGTAGACATTAATATAGAATAACTTAAAGATTGGATAGGATAGAGAAGGAGATGATGGGAAAGACAAAAGAGGAGCTAGTCAGAGATGCTATGGCTTGGGAAAGTCATGAATAAACATAGAAAAATATGAAAGAACTTTCAAATTCTATGCAATTAATAACCTAATGGTTTTAGGTATGTATGTTTATTTTAAATAAAATTCTGATGCAGAAATTGATTTTTTAAATTAGGAGAGGGGTCTGAATGGAGATAAAAATGAAAAAGTCACTATATGTGGCATTTCAATTAATATATTTGGATAAAGTACATCAGGAAGAATATAGTCAGAGATGAGAATTCTAAAGATGAGAACTTGGGGAATGTAGATCATAAAGAAGAAGAAAAAATACTAAAATAAAGCATTATTAAAAGTCCTGGGAACTTAGAGGAGAAATAAGAACTATTATGTAGGAATTATTTCAATTATTTTAAAATAGAATATCACAAAATTCTAACATTTTCAGAGAAAACTTTAAAACATCACTTAAAAAGCTATATAACAGATAAGCCTCGGAATACTCAACAGAAATAGTAGATAAAAGAAGTCAAAAAACAAAACAAAAACTTTTAAAATATAAAATTTTTCAGAAACAGGAGGAAAGACATAGCAATGGGTAAGAAACTTGGGTAGACAGTCAAATATCATATAGCACAATTTCACAGATAAGAAAATCGGAAAATAAACTTAAATAAGATAAATATTTTTGCCTAGTAAAATATAAAGATACATTTAAGGCTTCACAGTATACTGAGGAGTTGTGAGTGAAGGCTATGGGGAATGAGGTTCTTTTATGGTTTGCTTATAGAAATGAAAAATGGAATTCCCTACAGAGGACAAGTGGGTCACATCCAACAAAGTTGTGTACCCATTTACCCATTAACTCAGATCCCACTTCTCAGCAAAACTCCAAGGATATATATACTGTAAAGCATTTGAAAAAAAATAAAAATGAATATTTTTGCAGCTGAATGTGTAATGGAAATATATTGAAAAACATAAAGACATACATGCATTGAAGAACCTTGGTTCAGATTCATGCAATGGAATACTGTGAAACAGTATAAAGGCATGAGAAAGATCTATATCAGCATAATCAGCTAATGTAGAGTGAAAACAGCAAGGTGCAGAAAATTATAAAGCAATTAAAGTCATTGAAATTCCTTTCCTCACTTTTGCCAAAAACACAATCATAAATGAGAACCTAATAAAATGCTAAAAAGAGTGTCTGAAAAAGGAATGGAAAGCAATTTTGACTTCACAGGTTATTGATGTCTACATTCACAATGCAAATTTTCTAAAATATAAAATATACTTAAAGGAAGGTAAAAACTTTAAAATGAATGTTTGAACAAGAGAAAAAATGAATCTAACTTTATACTGAATTGGTAACATAATCACACATGCCAGGAATTAATTTAGGTAATTTTAAAACACAGCAGATGATTGCTCACTCTCAGTGGGTTATTTATTATGAGGACAAAAATAACTAAAAAGAAGTTGTGAAAGTTATTTAGTGTATTTGTTGTAAATGGTGGAATTGGTATTGCAATTTATTAATTTTTATTTTTGTTGTGGGATAGATCAAAAGAGTACATGTATTGATATGTTGGGAGTCATGATTATCACTGTAGGAAATTGGTAAATATAGCAAAATTAAATTATGAGTCCATAAAGAGAGCTATTTATGAATATTGGGTAAGTGATAAAAACAATAATTTGAATTAGCAATGAAATTTCATAAGACTACATGCATATATAATTCATATAGATCAGTACATATGTATTCATTTACTCAAATATAAATACTTGAGTTTATTTTTAATCATGAATTTGGGAAGACTGTCTAAATTCCTTAATTTGATGGAAACTCATAAACCAATTTATTTATTTATTTATTTTAATTAACATAGTCTAAGTTGAATTAATGTGCCATCTCTCTGTACCACCTCTGCAAGCTAATCAATAGATTGATCCACATCATAAACTAACTTAAATATATGAAACAAACAGAATGAAAATTGGACAAATACAATTCTGGAAGAATTAAATAGCAAGTAAAATTGAAAAATATGCTCACACTTACACCTAACTAAAGATATATAAACCACCTAACAACAACACAAAACTTTTTTCTATATTTGGTTGACAATAAATCAAAAGGCTAGTTAATACCCCATATTGACAACATGAGCAGAGAAATCCATGTTTTCATCTACTGTTTGTGCAGGGCCAATATTCAGTTAAGACATACCATTGTGGACACATGTTCTAGAATCTGTTCTGATTGGGCAGTATCTGTGCTCTATGTACTTGAAAAAAATTTAATAACTCCCTTGTATGAGTAGGAGCATAAACTGGCACTACCTCTTATAGTGCCTTAGCATAATATATCCTGATTAAACATATGTGTGCATGCTAATCCAATAATTCCATTGATGGGAATTTTTTTCACTCCCTATAATATACAAAAATTATTTATACCTTGAAACTTACAGTGCTTTTCTGACAGGAGAACTTTGTTAAACAGGTTGAACGTCTATTGTTGGAGGATCTCATTCTTGGTGTTTCTCCCCATATTGACAAGTTTCACCGGATAGCATTCTTGCACTCATCAGTCTGCTCATGTACTTCTCTCTAGCTAACAGAGCAGTTAATCTGATTGGTGGTTTTGGGATTAAGAACCTGACAAGATTTATTGATCAACCATTCCTCTTTGGTATCACCACACACACACACATACACACACACACACATTTTCAATTATTCTCTACTCCCAAATATTCTGTCAGTTTAGTGATAAAGGCTTTGCCCCAAAGGGATTGTACTTACTTAGCTGAATCTAATTCTAATACTTACGTATTTAAACTGAAAAATGTTCCACATTTAAGCCAAATTCTCAAGCACAACATGCCATCAATTTTAATTATCTTTCAATTCTTTATCTACTTACATTTTTATTTTTATCAGTTAGTTGGATTTGAAATATAATCACAAAGAATAGTAATATTTATCAAGAATCCAGTACATTCCATAACATGTAATAGAATATTGTAAGTCAATTTCCTTACTTATGGAATAGATAATCATAGGACCTACCTTGTAGTGTGGACTAAACCTGCATCATACACTTGAGAGTTTCAGTTAGTTTCAGCTACCTCTGGACTTTAACCTCTTCTTTAAAAAGAAACCTGGTTACCCATAAGGTGAATCTTAATCCTCCAAGGATGACACAAGCTTGAATTTGACCAGGATGGTCCCAGTTTAGGTCTATATCCCTAATATAACAATTATATTTATATAATTAATAATATCCCTTTTGAATCCCCAAGGAGCTTGCATTTGAAGCTTGATTAAATGGTACCCTATTTAACATTGTTGGCTGTTTTAGCTTCACTTGTGGGATACAGGCTGGGCTTTAGCCCAAATTCTTTCATGGCACTTTGGCAGGACTCCTGAATGACAATATCAGGCCCAGCAGTTTCAACATTATCAGAACACAGAGCCTCTCATTGCCACAGATTCTGCCAAGAAGGGCCTCATGACTCAATGCAGAAGAGAAGAGAAATTAATGCATGATGGATTATATTTTGTTAGCGAAACAAAGGGGATAAGGAAGGTATAGAAGCAAAGTTCGTATATTTCTTTCCCCAAACAGCTAATTATGGTGTGCAACTCCATAAGGCCTTTGTATAGATTCAAATAGCTAGCAACATTTTGAAAGGCTGATGTGGTTCTGTAAGGCAACACCTGTAATTTGACTTCTCTTTTTCTCTGACACAGTCTCCTTTCTTCCTCATTTATTGACCAGGGTTTTATATTCAAAGACATAAAATATGGATTTTTTTCATATTCATCTTTTTCTAAGAAACTCAAAGTAAGACAGTACCAGGAATGACCCTGAAAGTAAGGTTTATGTAATTGGATTTGGGGTTAGGTATTTCACCCATCGAGTAGTAACAAGAATCTCTTTGTCTTTCTTAGATGGGAAGTATAGGTATGGCATGCCATAACATAACCCATTATTAAAGAGTTCAACTTTCTGAATTGTTATTAGATGTCAGGCATTAGAGGATCAAGTGGATGTTGCATTTGTGGATTTAAGGGTTATGAAACCTGTGAGGATTGTGGTGTGACTATTTTTTTATGACATTAAAGATCTTGCAAAAACACAAGGAAAATGATATGCTCAGGGCATTTAATCTCTAATTTAAGACATGTTTTAAAAGTCAGAGGTTTTTAAAGCACTTTCAAAGGAGATTATCATATCCCACAACTGCAGGCTATTCTGTGCTAAAATCAAGCCTAGGATGTAGCAGAGCAACTTAAATAAAGTGTAAATGTCTTATGCCAAATTTAAGATCATAGTAGAAAAAATTGAGAACCTATGACTTGGGATGTGAGTCTATGAGCTCAGGAATCTTTAACTCCCCAAATTCCTTGTAACTACCTGACTGGCAGAAACCTCACTATTTCATTGGGAAAAGGCACAAGATTTCCTTGTCTGAAGACCCTGTGGTCATCACACTTGGAACATTTGCTTCACAAGAAGATATATTTCAACTCAGTATCCATTCTCCTCCATGTCTTAAAAAATTATAGGGTCAGTTTTCAGCACATTCAAAACTTGAAAGTATGAATTACTTAGAATAAAAAATCCAAGCACCAAAGTAAGTGAAAAATGGGGAAACATCACCTTAATACTTTCAGGTGATAAGGACTAAAGGTAAGGAAGTTTAGGGAAAAATTCATTGATAATTGTGGGCAAATTTATAATGTAGGATTCAGTATTCTGTTAGGAAACTGGAGCTGAGCAGTTGATCATCTTTTGTTGAAGTGCCTTCTTGAAACCATGAACAGAAAGAAATAACCTGCACTATGTGTTTTAGGGATGCTAGGACTCTGTGAATATGAGACATGAGATTGAAGAAGGGATCCAAAGTCTCAGAGTGGTTACAACCCTAGAATAAAAGTCTGAGAATTTACCATCTGATTATGGTCACACTGAATATTTGAACACTATCTTTAGTAAAGCATCAGGATCTGCACTGGAAGCAAGAAGAATATTATCTGTAAGTTTTTTGGTGCCTTCGCTTTGTAGGTTAAAATTGAGGTTGAACCCAGGCATGGTGGTGCATACCTGTAATCCCAAAATCTAGGAGGCTGAGTCAGGAGGATGGGAGTTCAAAGCTAGCCTCAGCAACTTAGCAAGGTCCTAAGCAACTCAGTGAGATCCTGTCTCTAAATAAAATATAAAAAAGAGCAGTTGGGTTGATGTGGCTCAGTCATTTATTGCCCTGGGTTTAATCTCCAATACCCAGTACCCCACCAAAAAAAAAAAAAAGAATTGAAGTTGGAGATGATGCAGAAGATTGAGGTTCTTCATAGTGCTTTCAACTGGCAGATGTCAGGTGCTAGCATTGGATACTGGATTTGTATTGTTGAAGCAGATGCTATCATCTAAATAGGAAGTAAAGTTGAAGTTTATATTTAGAGTTCATTGGTGCCCAGAAGTACATGACAGTGGCTAATAAATTGATGATGATCATAGTGTTCTTCAAGACATAAAAGATAACCGATTTTCATGATGGAAAAAATAAAAGATAACTTCAAGAAGATTAAACTTCATTTCCATTTTAAGTGCTTATGGTTACTCATAAATTTACCAGATGTATGGTAGCAATCAAAGAGCCCACTGATTGAAAAGACACTAGTTGCTGGGTATGTTGTTGCACACTTGTAATCCCAGAGGCTCAAGAATCTAAGGCAGGAGGATTGTGAGTTCAAATTCAGCCTCAGCAATGGCAAGATACAAACAACTCAGTGAGACCCTGTCTCTAAATAAAATACAAAATAGGGCTAAAGGTGTGGCTCAGGGGTAGAGTGCCCCTAAGTCTAATCTGTGGTACCAAAACCACAAAGGATACTAGTCTCCCATGTTCTTGGATTATTTAGAATTATTATTATCAAAAGGTCTATACTACCAAAAGTACTATGCAGATTTAATTTAATAATTCCTATTAAAATGCCAATGACATTCTTCATAGAAATAGTAAAAGCAGTCATGGAATTCTTTTGGAAAAATAAGAGGCCCAGAATAACTAAAACAATTTTTAGTGATGAAAGTGAAATAAGAGGCATCAAAATACCAGACCTTAAATTATATTAAAGAGTTAGTAACAAAAGCAGAATGGTATTGGCACAAAAAAACAGACATGAAGACCAATGGAACACAAAATAAAACACAGAGACAAACCCACATAAACATACTTATCTCATACTAAACAAACACACCATAAACATATATTGGAAAAAAGATAGCCTCTCAACAAATGGTGCTGGAAGAACTGGAAATTCATATGTAGCAGAATGAAATTGAAACCCTATCTCTCACCCTGCACAGAACTCAACTCAAAGTGGATCAAGGACCTATGCATTATACCAAACACCCTTTGTCTGCTAGAAGAAATTGTAGGCCCAACTCTCCATCATGTTGGCTTAGGAAATTCCTCAACAGGACTCCTAAAACCCAAGATATAAATCAAGAAACAATAAATGGGATGGTATCAAACTAATAAGCTTCTTCACAGCAAAAGAAACAACCAAGAGAATGAAGAGAAAGTCTCCAGGATGGGAAAAACTCTTTGCCATCTGTACCACATATAGAGCATTAATCTCCAGGACATAAAAGGAACTCAGAATAGTTAACACCAAAAACAAATAAGCCAGTCAATAAATGGGCAAAGGAACTGAACAGATACATCAAAGAAGAAGAAATATCAATGGTCAAAAATAAATGAAAAAATATTCACCATCTATAGTAATTAGAGAAATACAAATTAAAACTATACTGAGATTTCATCTCACTCCAGTCAGAATAGCAATTATTAAGAATATAAGTAACAATAAATGTTGACGAGGATGTAGGGGAAAACATACACTCATACGTTGCTGGTGGGACTGCAAATTGGTAAAAGGACTCCTGAAAGCAATATGTAGATTTCTCAAAAAACTTGGAATGGAACCACCATTTGACACAATTACCCCATGTCTTGATATATACCCAAAGGACTTAAAATCAGCATACTACAGTGATGCAGTCACATCAATGTTTATAGCAGCTCAACTCACATTAGCCAAGATATGGAACCAACCTAGGTGCCCTACAACAAATGAATGATAAAGGAAATGTGGTGTATGTACACGATGGCATATGACTCAGCCATAAGGAGAAATTAAATTATGGCATTTGCCAGTAAATGGATAGAACTGGAGATTATCATGCTAATTGAAATAAACCAATCCCCCAAATCCAAAAGCTAAATATTCTTTCTGATATGTGGTTGCTAACATATCATAAGGGAAGTGGGAAGGGAAGAAAGGGGAGATGGGAATAGGAAAGATTGTAGAATGAATAGAACATAACTTTCCTATGTTCATATTTGAGTAACTTCACAACCATAAGAATTGGATCTTCATTAGAGTGAATTATATTCCATGTATGAATAGTACATCAAAATATAGTCTACTGTCATGTATATCCTAAAATAAAAAAAATAAATAAAAATTCCTCAATTGTCATCTCAATATATGCGGTTAATATTATTCCATTTCTTATCTAAAGAACCTGTGGTCACTTAGCAGCTCTTAGGAAAAGAGGAATAACTGGACCATTTCAAATATATTTGATACAGAATCTGATAGTATTTGATAATACCAGCAAACCAGAACATCATTTTGAGCTAGGTTTTATTGCACTGTTAGGCTAATTTAACTCACACTAAGGAACTGTACAATGAAGCCTACGTAGGAAAACACCTAAAACCTAGAGGATTCTAAGAGGACTATGAAATGGCAATAAGTATGGCCCAGCATAGGTGCTCAGATACTCTCAGAAAATCTGGGACAAGGAAAAATGCTGTCGCAGGTGAGGGAAATCTACTGCAGGTGGTGGTGGTGGTGGAACATGATTCAGATTAGCTACTCTGTCATTGAGTACAAGAACAGAAGCCACAGCTTGGTTCGATAATAATTTTTGAATCATCTAGGAGACTGAAATGGCTGTTATCTTAAATGTTAGACATGGGCCGTCCCTCATTAGAAATAAGTGAAAAGATCAAGACACCATTAGAGTTGACATGCATATCTAGATAGATAAGGCACAAAGCAAAGTTTGCCACAGAGACATTTCACACTTCTCCAAAAACCTTGATCTCAGTTGGGCCTAGTCTTACATGCTAACTAGGATCTTGATCACCACTGCCTAGTCCCATCTCCTGAAACTGAGCCACTCTGGGAGTAGC